TCTCACAGTACGATATTTATTACGATATTTTGACGAGGCTAATATAATTGTAGATAGGACACTTTTTGGCTTTTAAAATACCTTAACAAGATTTTGGTGTCAATTATTTCCATCATCATAAAGTAAAAAACATATTTCATCATGTTGTCTGTGCTGAAATGAATCATGGGATATGTAGTTTCATATATTTATAAGATGTTGCTACTATAAAACCATGCATTTAAGCAAAGAAACTTGTAATTCGATATATTGTGTCAGCCCACGATATTATTGTGAGACTTTTGATGATATCACGATATTTTGGTTATTGTTACATCCCTACTGTTCAATATATGAAATCTGGAACAATATATTTCTGGGGTCGATATTTATCCTTGTACTTTTTCTTTGTTCTGTTGGGATATTTGTGGTTATTTTTTGGTTATAGGGTAAGGTTTAATGAATAGTAAGTGTTTCATTCTTCACCTTTAAATAACATTGTTTTAAAGCTGAGAAATGTAATCTGGAAATCTCCCCGGTATGTATTGGAAATCCAATTTATCCAGTTCCTCTGAAAGCTACGCGCAGTTTTTCTCAAAAGCTCACATTTCATTATTACGTTTGGCAGACAGATTAATGACTCATTGTTCCTTTTCCTTAAACAAAATGGGACAGGCATACTGGGGCTGGCATGAGTCTCTCTTCAAATCGTCTTTCAATTCTATCTAATAAATGAGTGTTCACTGATTCGAAAAGGGTTTCCAGGGGACGCGATCAATAACCACAGAGTAAACCAATCAAAGAAACATCAACAGACTGACAACACCGGCTTGAGCAAACTGGATGCTGATTTTTCATAACACACGATATAACAAGGGTCCAGGTAGGTGTGATGGTTTCCAGAAAATAAGATGAAATAATAGACAATTTTGCTTTCACGTGTTTTTGTACAGCAGAGAGATGCACCGCGGCGTAACAGCTGGAAATAATACATGAGAGAAAATACAGTGTTCTAGTCACATTTTAGTTTATGTAACAGTAATAGCATGGTAACAGCATGGAGACAGCATGATACGTGGGACTGCACAGGACTTTTTGCAGCTTTGTTTCAACGTTATTTGTTTCTTAGACTTCATATAGCGTTTGGTTTGGTGATTACTGGTGATAATTAATTAAAAGTGCACTATGTAATATTTTGGTTGGGGGTCCATCACCTGCCTGTTTTTATGGATATGTAATTTCTCTGTCTGAAATGTTCCATGGTATGACATTAAACAGCTCTACCTCACATTTATTCAATTACAGGTGGTTTTAAAGCTAAAAATTAATTAAAAGGTGGTTTTAAAGCTAAAAATAAATAGAAAAACAGACATTCTGACGATGAGTGGGATTCAGAGATCTGACCTGTAATTTGGTTTGGTTTGGTCTCCATGAAGATAGAAAGGTTTAATTTCCGGACAATGCAATAACATATCCACGGAGAAAGGCATTTGATGGATCCTCCACCAGAAATATTACAGAATGCATCTCTAAGCATGAACAAAGACTTCATAATGAACAATTAAGAATGAGTCACATATCAAAAATGAGCTCTTAACCCTGTCAAATTGTTGTCCCCTCATCAAATATACACATGGAGTTGTATTTTGCTTCTTCACGCTTGTTTTATTAATCCATAAAGGCCCCATATTATGCTATTGTCTGATCTGTTTCTGTTTCTATTTGTTTTGTATTATATTTACCTGTAACTGTCACTGTATTTGTCGCTGTTTGTTATGTGTTTTGGTCGACTGTGTTGTCTTTAAAGTGCTCTACAAATGAAGTAGTTGAGTCGAGTTTATTAAGCCATAAAGGCCCCATATTATGCTATTTTCTGATCTTCTGTCATGTTGTTTGCTCATCACAAACATACCTGGAGTTTTGTTTCACACATGTTTAAGACACAAAACCTGAATTCTTCTCTCCACTTTGTAATGTCATGTGGTCATACAAGAAGTGCTCCACTGCATTTTTAAGCTCCATACACTTTCACTAGAATCATTTGTATTATTTCAGCTCTGGAATTGTAGAGCATTTTGAGCTATGGAGATGTAGACAGAGTAATAATAAAAGGTTACTTAAACATGTGTGCATGAAACAAACCACATCTCCAGGTATGTTTTTAAGGAGATAACATTATAACATGGCTTAAAGTTCACGAGAGTCAATTTTGCTTAACATAGAAGCCGTAATGCACAGTTGTCTTCTATGAAGAAAAAATGCTCAAATCAACCAAAAATCAATCACATTTTGCCCACATCGTTGCATGACAGGTACAAATTGTTCTTCAGCCAAACTGTGTTCACAATGAATGCATGGCTCTATTAGCCTGGCATTCACGTTGCTAAGTGACTTTATTTGTTTATTGTTCATTTCCGTTGCTGACAGCACAGGGATCTCCAACGCTTAAAAGCCTCGTTTGAAACAGAGGTGTAGTTTATGCTGTTTAAAGAGTGTTTTCCAAATCTAGACATTATTTAAGTTAGAAAATGTGAAACACTTATTCAAAGCTGAACAAAAGCATGTTTATAAGGGAATTAAAGCCACAAAAATGCACTTTATGTGTTTATGTTCTTTAATTAATACCATAACACTCTAATAAACTATTTGTTCAAAATTAGTGAAGTCTGTGTTCATGCTTTATTAAGGATAATTAGGTGTACTTGTTATAAAGTGGTTACATTTTTTAGATGTGTACTTTTCCCATCAGTATTATAATGTAATCACTGTCATTCTTTGTTTTGTGAACATGCTACTGAAATCCTATTACCATGCTATCACTGCACTCAAAGGTTGCATTCACATTACATCACAAATTCTAAGAAAGACACGAGGTTTTGTGGTTTATGTGTATTATTCTTTTTCACTGTCATTATGTTTCCAGAATAGGTTTAAAAAGTTGTTACATTTCTCACACTGAGAGGCAAATGTCTTCATATTTCCCAGAACTTTGAGCCATAAGTTTAATATGCCAAATTTGAGGGCCCAGTCTCTAAGTGATAGCATTCTGGTTCAATATTTGTATATGTATGTATTTATTTATTTATTTTAACTATTGAAATAATTGATAATTATGACATCAAATTCTAGAAAATGAGCTCAAGTAATTATACGGACTGGCCAAACAATGTAAACAACAACTGCAGATTGTCACACGTTTTGCAGTATACAGCTGGTGACACACTGGAGTTCAACACATTTTCCAGTACATTTTCTATTCATTTATCCCATTGACTTTTATAAAATATCAAATATCAGGGGTTCAAAGACATCACAGAGGCTGCCCAGCTACGTGGTGACTCATATCCATAACATCCTTTATAAAAAATACATCTAAAACTCAAAATCCATTGAAATGCTTTAATAACTTTGCAGTTTACATTTCAGAAACAGATTTTAAATGTGCACTGTGTAACTTTTCTGGTCTGTGATTTGCATGTCACCATGAAGATGTTGTTGCTTTGAATAGAATGTTGCACATTATAGCATTAAACATCTATCCAGCATTTATTTTGTTACAGGTCTTTTAGGATACGAAGTTTTCACGCCACGCATTTTCATTTTCCTCAACTACCCCTTCCACAAAGTTGTCCCACCATCGACTGGTTCTCCCAGATCTCGTCCATAGCCGTCTGGCTCTCCTGTGACCAACTGGTGCATTCAGAATTTGATAGAGGTGTTTGTACACCCTTCTCCGTTCACTAATAATATCTCCGCATATTCTCTACATTTACTGTGATGCCTCCTGTAAGTTTATTAGAGCTGCCAGAGCAACTTGAAGGTCGGACGGATGGAAATGATCACATGAACACATTTGTTTCTGTGTACTGTATGTATGTGACGTAAACACGTACTTGACCTGAGCAGATCTGACCAGAGTTTTGCGTCTTGGGCAGTGTAGACGGAGTGTATTCAACTTTTCCACTCTGGATGGTGGTTTCATATTTTTGCATTTTTAAGCCCTAAAAACACAGTCGCCGTCTAAATGAAAAGCACTTCCGATAAAATGTTTTGTTTTACCTGCAAGCGTTCTCGTGTAAACAGGCTCTTAATTTAATTCCTACTGTTGCTGGCGTCACCTCTTCACAGATCTGACCTGTAACTTGGAATGATGACATCTTGATGGAGATATATTAGTTTATTGTCATATTGTAGTAAAACATTCCGGCCCAAAGCAATAAGCAAGTGGTGGACACTCTACCAGTAAAGTTACACAATGCACCTTTAAGTAAAATGATGACGACTTCTGCTCATTAGTCACCACGTAGCTGACTATGCCTGAGCAAACTTTTCAAACTTTTAATATTATTTAAATTTTAATCTGTGAGAAAAAATGAATGAGAAATGTACTTTGGGAACCTGGAGGTGGGTGGTCACTGAGCTCCATTCAGTTGTGCTTTTTACAAATAAAAATAAGATCACAATGGACAAATCATCATGGACCAGAGACTACAGGAGCTCGGCAAACTTCTTGTAGGAACAGTTTGGAGGTCAGAACACAGCATCTGTACACACGCCACGGCTGCATCCCGAGTCCACTTTAAAATTCAAACCTAGCTGAAGGACTGCAACTGAGCTCTAGTTGGGACTGTTATTCGCCACAGAAGCAGATTTCAAGGTCAAATCCCAGCTAGAACTTAATGGCTTGCAAAAAGTCTTGTCTGTGGCGGTTATATAACTTCTTGGATGTAAGCCGCCTTTACACTCCACAGAAGAAGAAGTAAAGTCTTGTCCCGGGTTAACTTGCAACTTCAGAGTACGAACTTGTCCAACTGTGAAAGTATCCAACATTCAGAATCACTTTTAACAGAGCAGAATGGTGGTTGTTCATAACTTTGCTCTTATGCCTTCTTCACGTTCAAAATAATCAGACAACAAAGCAACGACAGCGGTGCCATTCCTATTACCAAGACATTTTCTGACTTATTTTCATCTCACTTAAGGTCTCACCGCTGCTCTCTGCCTCTTTCGGTTTGATGGCTTCACCTTAAGTGGATGCATTCGATTTCCTCTGTTATGGGCACGGAAAAAGTCCTCATATCCATCTCATCTACGGTCTTATTGGGAGCGTAGGTGGACCTCCAACGCATGAGCACGATCTTCTTCAGATACTTCACCGTGTTGTTTTTGACGCTAACGAAGCAAAACGTATTAATCATGCTGTTGCTCATGGCGATGCATTCGATGATGTAGAAGGCCACGAGTGAATTCTTCTGGCGAGTTATGATTGTGGGGTGGAAATCGCGCAGAATTGTGTAGGCGTAATACGGGGCCCAACAGAGGATATACAACGTCAGAATCGCGATAAGCACCATTACGGTTTTCCGGCGACATCGCAACCTCTTCCGGATCTGCTCCGTCTGGAATCCAGGAACGCTCTTGAACCACAGCTCGCGCGATATTCTAACATAGCACAGCATCATGATGATAACTGGGCCAATGAATTCCACGGCGAAAATGAACATGAAGTAAGATCGGTAGTAGACTTGCTTCTCCACTGGCCAGATCTGAGCACAGAAGATTTTGGGGCCATAAGTTGTTTGGGATGCAAAGTAAGCAGAAGGAGCGGAGATCAAGACAGGGACAAACCAGACTCCTGTTATGACGACGTAAGCTGTTTGATACTTCATACGTGGTCTCAGAGGGTGGACAATGGCCATGTACCTGAAAAAACAAAAGGCAGAAAACAAAATTGGTCCAGGTCACATTTGAAAGGCAAAGTAGGCCCACGCAGGCTGTTTAGCAGTCTGAGGGGGAAGTCAATGGAATCACAGACAGCTCGTATAAAGGATTAAAGTTCAGAGCACGCCCTGGCTACAATGAGCTGAATATGTTAAAGGAATAAAGAAGTGAGGGGGCTTTTTTTAGCACAGCTGGCTATTCGGATGACAGAAACAAATGGATCACTGCCGATTTTAGAATAAGAAGTTTTTCACATCATCTCTTCTGGATCAGAACAGTAATAAATTGGTGGGTTGGGAAAGGCACTACATTGGATTATTCATGGTGTTGTTTTGGTTTGAGTGATCTTATCGTCTGTGGTTTCTGATGTCTCCTATTAGCTATATCCAGTCTGCTGACTTTATTTAAAAATGTTGAAAAACAAACAATGTATGTATTTATTCATCACATTCACAGTGCTCAGTTTCAGACTTTTAAATTTGTCAACAAAGCAGAAATGATCATGATGTAATATTACATTCAAGAGACACAGGATATAATAAAAGGTTGGTTAAAAGTAGGTCACATTGACCAGATAACTGGGGAATAAGGTAGCCTATAGCAGCCCTTTATTCTCTTGTACAGTATAAAGGGTTCAGAGCAGTGCATTGTACAGTGGCACACAAGCACCAAAGACTTTGATAAATCATACATCATTTTCAATGGGATCTCCTGGGCTCAGATTGCATTAGAGAACAACTCCTCAACATAAAAGTGATGGCATTCTGACCACAGACCATCCATCCAATTCACAAAGGAAGCTATTTGTAGCAAATTAACCACTTGAGAGAAATACACACTTTGATGAAACACTGTCTCCGCAAAAGTGACAGCTTATTTTTGTAGTTAACTTGCTTAATAAACCTTGACTATTCTCATTAGTAAGACATTTGCAATATTATAAGATAAACAACACAATGACAGAAAGCTAAGAGTGGCAAAAAAGAAAAAAAAATCACTGACTAAATGTATTGTGTAGTGTTTTAATGTTGTGCTATTAAAGGGACAGTAAGTAACTTGCTAGTGCATTAACTCCCTTATAGAGGACATGTGTTTTTCTCATTCTCAGTATATGGACAGGCCATGACTTATGACAAAGCTCAGAACCTCCAGAATTCCCTCACTGAGCTGCAGAGGCTGCACTAGCACTGAGTCATGATCGACTGAAGGGACTTTTGTTTAGTGACGATTTAGATCAGTTGAATTTCAGCATTGAAACTGCCAACTCAAAAGAGAGACTCATGTGATCTTCATTCTGCATTCTGATTGGACAATACAATCAATCAATGAACCTACGCAGGGACGACAGGTGGAAATTAGCACTGGGGCTACAACATAGTACAATGCATCTCTCCTGTTAAGGTTAATGTCAAAATTGTGCACTGTCCCTGTCTCATTAAATAAATAAACAGATATATCAAAATCTTACATACTGTCCTTTTGAGTAAATCTGGCATTATAACTATGTTTAGATAAATGTCAAAGGTTCTGCTTATTGTGTAGAATTCTGGTCAAGCTCTATTTTGTAGTCTGAAAGACTTGTTTTATTTCATATTCCAACTGTTGCTAATAGACAGTCTGCATGTGTAGGCTGCACACTCCAATACACATAAATATACTGTGCATTTGATGAAATCCATTGGCCTAACCCCTGGACAGCCTCAGGTCAGTCTGCCTTGTGAAAGGAATAATGCTGGAATAAAAGCTCTTCTTGAGTGCATTCACACTTTACATGACCAAAGATGAGAAGAATTCTCTGAAACTGTATTTAGTTACAGAATACTGAATACAAGCATTAAAATGTATTTTGTAACTTGTTCTGACACATAGTCCAATCAGAGTACTGTATTTGGAAAACATAGTCACATTTAAATTATAGCCTAAAAACATAATGTAGGATTAATAGAAGCTTTATCTTTGTTTGACAGTTTGTTACGCATTTGTGTATCAGTAATTGGAGAAGGAAAAACTGGCACATGCAGTCAACACAAGAGATGTGTTTTTTATTTTTGAAGCCTAAAATGTGTGATCAAGCACAACAATGTATTCTTATGAATTTTGAAAAGTGCCTGTATTCTGAATACCACCAAATGAAAGAGTATATTATAAAGAGTACATTTTCTTTCTAAGATGACTTGAGTTTAAAAAAAGTTTCATGATTTGAGTAATTTCACTTGACAAGTAAAATTATCTACCAACGGAACAAGACTTTTTGTACTTAATATATGAAAATATATCTTACTACATTTAAAGGTGCATTGTAATTTTTTTCTGGTGGAGGGTCTATCACCTGCTGTTTTCCATAGAGGTATTATTCCTTTGTCTAAAATGTTCCATTTCTTCTTTATATTTATTCAATTACTCAAAAAGTCCTAGAAAACAGAACTTCTGACTGTGATTTATAACTTGGTCTGGTTTAGTCTTCATGAAGATAGAAAGGTTGAAAGGTTTAATACCGTATTGTGAAACATTCCAGCAAAGCAATAATTTCTCCATGAAGAAAAGCTTTTGACAGGCCCTCTACCAGAAAAGTTACACAGTGTACCTTTAAGATAAGAAAAACAACTATTTGCATTTAAAATAAAAAACAAAATGTAACGTTACTTGAATTAAGAAAAACACCTTACCTAGATATTGCTTTGTGCAGTAGTATTCAGAATGTGTATTCTCTGTACATGTATTCAGTTGATTCCCAACACTATAAATAACCAACCACTGTGCTTCACCTGCTTTTGAAACCCCTGCTTTCTAAAATAAATATGAATGGTGGCTTGGCATGGAGTGTGGCATAATCTTGGCATGAGACCACAGAATTCATTATTTGCCATACCTGTCCACAGCGATGGCCAGCAGGGCATTGGTAGACACATACAAAGACACTGTGCGTAGGTAGTTCACAGACGCACACATGACGAGCCCGTGGTCCCAGGAGAGCTTCTTCACCACATAATAGTCCACGAGGAAGGGACAGCAGACCACAGCCACGATAAAGTCCGAAATGGCCAGGTTGGCGATCAGCAAATTGGTGAGGTTGCGCAGCTTTTTGTATCTCGTCAACGTGGCAATGAAGAGGAAATTCCCCAGTCCGCAGACAAGCATAATGCAAACCAGGACCACCCCGATCACGATGGTGGCCACAAAGAAGGCCTGACCCTGCGAAGTGTCTGGAATCTCCTCTGGGGGCACACCGTAGTCCATCTCATAGCTGTCCAAGTAGTGGTCCAGGGTTGTTGCCGGGATACTGAGCACTCCGGTTGTGTTGTTGCCTCTTGAATCCCCCATGATCTTCTCAAGTGGTCTAGTTTAATCTTTCCTAATAACTGCAGGGCCAATTTAGAACAGGTATCATGACAATTGAAGCAGCATAGTGGCTTAACCTTGAGACATGGATTGATTGGGGATTTTTTGTTGAGAATACAAATGACTCAATGATCTCGTTCTTCAAGGGGCATCTCCACCTGGAAAAGAGAGAGCCTATAATAATTACTCTTAACTATTACATTAAAGGTGCACTGTGCAACTTTTCTAGGGTCTGCTACCTGCTTGTTTCCATGGAGATGTTATCGCTTTGCCTGGAATGTTGCATTGTATGACATTAAGCATATCCATCTAGCTTCTAACATTTATTCATTACAGGTATTTCTATTGCTCGAAAATACATTCATTCCTTGTGTATAATAGCGACTCTCCACAGATCTGAATTGTAATGTAGCATAGTGCTGTAACCTGCTTGTCTCCTTCGTGATAGATAGGTTTAATCTATGCTGTGAGACATTGTAGACAAACCAGTAACATTTCCAATGGAGGCTAGAAAAGCTGCGCACTGCACCTTTAATAAAATGTTCTTCACTCACTCCATATGACTGAAATTTGAATTATTAGGATAGAATTACAGTGTATTTAAAATAAAATAATTTGCTGTTACATGCCCATGTATGTGTATATACTGTGTGCATAGTAGATATCCATGGGTTTCAGAATGATGAGAAATTAGGACTGTTGCCATAGTGATTACCAATTCAGTACAAAAAAATGTATATTTTGAATGGGGAAATGCCCTCAACATGTTGCATTTAACAGGAAGTTTAAACCGATGAATAACTTTATTTAACCTAGAAACTGCTCTACTGTATATGTGTAATTTTCCATGGTTAAAAGCTTTCTAGTCATATAACAGAATGGGTTGGGGGTGGGAGTAAATAAAGCTTACTTCTTCCCACTCCCTTCCAAATGAGCTAAAATTGTCTGCTCTATATTAATACTTCACATCTGATTGCATGACACTTTGAACTTGATTCTATTATTGTTAAGATCCATATAATATCGATTAAGATCAGGGAAATTCATTAATGAATGTAAAATATGCATGAGCTTGAATAAATTAAACATCTTAAAACGATTCAAACACTGACCCCTGTGCTGAGAGCTGTAACCACACTAACACTGTAACCACACTGACATATGTGACATTTCTGTGATTGTACCAGGTAAATGATCATACCTGGTGACTCATCATATCTAAATTGGTTTAGGTAATTTAGACAAACCGTGCCACTTTACAACAGGTCAACGCAAGACTTAAAGCTATTTTCTTTTTGAACACTCAGTTTGTATCCTTTATATCGCGGTGGGCAAGACTGTAGTAGCAATGAGACATGACATAAAAAACATGCACTAATTTAACCTGACTTGAGACCATTTTAGTGACGCACTCTCAGCAAGCAAAGCATCCAAATCAATTAGACGCTCTCATTTGCTGTTTTATTGCAGCGTTTTGCTCTGAGTAGTTCGTTGTGAGATAATGAGATAACTAAAAATAAAAAGTAGTTACCGCAGAAGCTTAATTACCTGAGATGCGTAATTTGGCCACAATAAAATCAAACTTTGTTATAAGTGCCATAAGCGTAACACTGTAAGTCTGGTTTAAATAGATTAAATAGACTGAACTTACTGTACCTGGGAATTGTGTAGGTCCCTCCACTTTTTCGCGGTTTTATGAGATAGTCGAAGTGGTCGTTCCAGGTGTAAAACACGGTCAATGCGCCCGCGTCAACGCACAGGGTCGCTTCTCCCGCGCGCTCAGACAGATTGATTGTAATAGCAGTGCCAGTCCGCTCCGCTCCGATCACGAGCAGGGAAAGAGGAAAAGGTCGAAAAGTTGCATCTAGCCCCTGACTCCGGTGACAGAACGGTACAGAGGAGCTGCGTGTGGCGAAGGGGCACTGGCACGTCTCCTGTACGCGAGAAAGTGTGTGCGTGCGCGCCTCGTTACGCATGTGGTGGGCTCGACTCAAGCTGGTGAATTTCCAGCAGTGGGTTACTTTAGAGGTAAACTCAGTAATGATGTAAGGATAATATTCATTTAGCAAAGACAATGAGGTTTAAATTGAAGTAAAAATCATGCAGCGAGTAAACTGAGTAGACTACGATCAAAAGAAAAAAGGATATTCATTTGTTTTTTTTTTAACTAGTTAATATCGATTCAGAATTACAGGTGTACAATGCAGACTGGAATATAATTAAGTAATTTCGGGTTTTATGGCTCAATAAACAGCAAATAGGCCTAACTCTCAAATTAAAACGCACTCTGTATTAGCCCATGAGCAACTTTGACATTAAGTTACATTTTAAATAGTGTTCTTATTATTTTTTAATCACTTTTTATATTGGGGAACGATTCATGTAAGTTGTACAAATGAAATAAACAGCTTAATTAACAATATCTGTTTTCTTTTGGCTTGAGATGCCCAATACATGTAGCCAACCTTTTCCATACTGGTGAAGGAAAACCATCTGTGAATACTTTTAAGATGTCCCTTTTACTGTTCTTCTGTGTTATGTCTTTTATGTATTTTGTAGTTGTGTTCATTAATATGCTCCGTCCCTATCAAATTAATTAATTAATTAATTAATTAAAAGTAAGACTAAGTAACAGCGGTGGCTTTGTGGGTTGAGCATTTACCCACCAACCAGATCAAACCTTGTCCCAAATCCACACTGCCCAATTTATCATGTTGATACGATGAAGAAATTCCTCTTAAAATTCACAGCTGTTTACTGTTTACATTGTTTTATCTGCTTAGTGTTACCATCATTACTCATTCATGTATAGGCAAAAGCATTTATTTGGGTTGTTTCAGTTGTCAATACAGTAATCTATAAAATCGACCCATGATCTGCTCATCACTGTCAATAATAATGATAAGGAATGCGTTTGAAATGTGAGGAATAATTCTGAACTGCTGCACACTTTTAAAAATAAACTAATTTTACTGTTTTTTTTTTTTTTTTTTTTTTTTAGTTTTTAAGACAGTAAAAATCAGGTACAGTGCCTTTAAATCTGTGTAGCCAAGATTAAGATATCAACAATAAAGTCTTTCTTAAAGGGCCCATATTACTCTATTTTCTGATCTATGTTATAATGTTGTTTCCTCATTGCAAACATTCCTGGAGTTGTGTTTTGTTTCATTCACATGTTTAACACACAAACCCTGCATTCTTGGGCTGAGTTTTTCTCTCAAACAGAAAAAAACTCTGTTCCATCTTGTAATGTCATGTGGTAATACAAAAAGTGCCCACAGTTTTTTTTTTTTACTCCACACACCTTCACTAGAATCATTTGGACAATTTCAGCCCTGGAATTGCCAATCTCTACTGAACAAAAGGTAAAAGGTAGCTGTTGAAAAACATACATGACATCACAGGGTGGAACGGAGCATTTTGAGCATTGGGCATGTAAGCAGCCTAGTAATCCAGGATTACTCAAACGTGTGAATGAAATAAACACAACTCCAGGTATGTTTTTGAAGAGCTAACATTATAACATGGCTTAAAGCTCACAGGAGTCAATTGTGTGAAATACAGGACTCTTAACACTTCTGAAAGCAACATATCATCTCACATACGGACTATTCAGGAAGTACTGTATAATAAAGATGAGTTGTTTTGGCTTGATTGCAGCTTTAGACAGCACAGTGCCACCAGCGCTGTATATTACTGGTCAACCACCCTGAACACAGGATAAAGAATTGTATACAAAAGTAATGATAGCTTTTTAGAATCAATCTCTTATTGAGCTGGCGGTGCTGTTTCTATCTCGTCTCCAACAATCATCAGTCAATAGCAGCTTGATAGATTTTTGTGCATACCGGCTAACACCTGCACTGTTAATATATAATCATGGTTAACAAGTGAAGTACTCAGCAGTTACTTCTAAAACTGTGTACTAAATGATTTTCTTTGTTTCATCTCCAGATGCGTAGGGGCTCTTCACAGTACAAAAACTACAATCTAGCCAAGTTAAAATAACGGGAATTGAGAAAGTTATCATGATTTGAGTAAATTTCACTTCACAAGTAAAATGATCTGCCACTGGAACAAGACTTTTTGTCCTTAAAGTGCCTATGAAAGATTGGACTACGAATTTTACAAAAAAAAAAAAAGTACAATTCTTCATTCGAGTTTGGGGAGTTTTAGGCTTAAAATTGTACTTTGTGGTTTGAAATCATGACATCACACAAAAAAAATATATATATAAGAAAGCACCATTACTTTGTCGAAATAAGGTTTTACAGTATCAGAAAAATGTGTTTCTTGCATGTAAATTGTGCACGAACTTTTGAATAGAACTGTCATCAACTGTCAGAAATGTCATCAACATGGGACTCTCTAAAATAGAACATTCTACTTCTTGTAATTTTCAACATATTTTTCAACTTTTCTTCACAAATTGTTTCTTGATTTTGTGTAAAACTATAATTTATATTGGCAACCAGTACTATCCCATCAAATTAAGTCAAAATTAGAAAATCATATACGCACTATAAAACATGAAAATACACCTTTTTACACTTAAGATAAGAAAAACAACAACTATTTGCATTTAAACTACAAAATCTAATGTTGCTTAAATGAAAAAAATAAACACTGTCAAGTTGAATATACTCAAAATAAAACGTTCTTAATTGAAGTCATTTTAATGTACCTAGATATTGCTTTTTTGCAGCGCATGTTCTCGTTCACTTTTATGAGCCTGTAAATATTATTAGACATTGTTGTATTTGTCCTAGTTGTTCCATTGGCGTGTCTGGGGTAGATATACGCTAGGCTTACATTTCCACCATAGACAGTTCTCTAATCTTAGCCAGGGCGCGAAATTTACAACTTCTGGCCAGATGTCGATTTACGAGAGAAAGAAGACAGCCAGTCCTTGGAACTCATGTTAGCAGACGGAGCTATACGCACATACATATTATAAAGGGTCTTTGTGGGGAGGCAGGTGG